GATGTAATTTTTAGTTAATTAGGATCAAAGGCTAATGAGTAGGAAGTTGGGAAAGTTAAAACAATGATGTTTTGCTGGAGTGATCCGATTTACCCCATCGTGCGTTGCTTGACTGATCCGAATTACCAGAGCGATGGGACTCATTTCATTTTAATTACAGATAAGTAATTAAAATGAATTTTAAAATAATTTTTACATCAGTCGATAGAAAAATGTTCAAATTTTCTACCTGTGAAAAAAATTTTGTTTAGGATAAAAAATGACCGAGTTATTACCAAAACAATACGGAATTTTCCAAAATTGATCCGATTTCCCCCAACTGACTCTATATACCCAATAGAGAATGAGAATATTCTCGAAAAAACAAAAGATCGGAGGAGAAAAGAGAAACTATGACGTCACTGTACCTTAGCAGCAAGAACAATGGATATTTAAAAAGAATTTATATGAGAGAAGGAAAGAATGAAAAGAAAAGCACTTATACATATATATTACAGATATTAACACTATTTCAATGAAATCATTTTAATGAAATGGAGACCAAGAAAGATTTTGTTTATCTTACAGGTAAATATAAAAGCACTTTACTCTCTCCACATTTTGATAAAGCACAAAACGTACTAAAAGACATCTCATGTCGCAATTCTGGTTATTTCTCTCTATATGGGGCTGTATGTTACTTTCAATTTTTATATTTAGCTGTATATGTTATTTATTGGGTAAAACAGATAAACGAAATCGAATGGTAAGTAAAGTTGATAGAGATGAGTGTTCTCTGCTCATTTTTTAAACTTATTTGATTGAATTAGGGGCACTTGAATGCATTTTTTCTTACTGTAAAAGCCAGTCCAACAACCAAACAAAATTAATGCGTAGAAGGAAAATGTTTTAAACGATGTATACTGTTTTATTGTCAGATGTTTAGTGAAAGTAGAAATGAGACTGCTTCCTAAACTCTCCGAGATAGGGAACAAAACTGCAGTAGTAAAACAAAGTGATATATAATAAAGCTTATTTTTTATAATTTACATTTGGCTGATGAACCAAAACGAGATTCTAAAAACTACAGTAAAATTTACAAAGTTCAGAATTTTACTGAAATTCTACGCAGGCATTTTCAGAAAAATTATAATTTTGGCCGCTATAGTACAATCGACGAAAGTATGATAAAATTCAAGGGAAGATCAAGTCTCAAGCAATATTTGCCCCTAAAACCAATATAATAATCCAGAAAAGATTAGAGAAGTTCATTTCTAAATCTATGAAGCTAACTCAGCAGAACTGTGCGAAAGACATTTGTATAAGCTTATAGTAATTGCGACTGCCAATTCAAGGTACTAATCAGCATATTCTTATCGTCCTGTCCAATTTGAGATTAAGAATAATAAAACTACAGCAGTAGTTTGAATCATTTTTCAATTTCCGGTATCGATCTCAGTTTTTGTCAGAGATAAATTTATCTTGACATCATCATCATCATCTAACTTATAACATTCACATTGTTAGACGGCGAAAGTAATCCTGAAACAGAAAACTCGAGAGACAGAGAATCGAGATTCATAAGAGGCTTTGCTCATTAGAAGAATAATGCATACATCACGTCAATTGCAAAATCTTTTGATTTCAGAACGACAAACAAGAAAATTCACAGCTACACAAAACACCGTTAATCCGCATTGTCGATTACGAACGTGATCTTCGAGCACAATCAGATCCATCGTCACAGCGAACAGTGAGAAATAGTCAGCAAAACGGTGGGGTAAGAAATTGATCCGGAAAATTGATTTTATGTATCTCTCTATGTCTTTTGTTCCATATGAATAAACATCAACTCTTATTGTAAAGTAAAGCAGTTCGTTTCTTGATCAAAGTATCTTTTAAGACTTTTCTGATCAGATCAATATCGAAAATTATTTGAGTTTAGAAGTAAGAAAAAGACTCACAGCTGCAGCAACCACAATCAGTCAGAAATGCCGATTATCAAACTGATCTTCAGATCCGATCAGACCAACTTCCACATGAAAAAGTTGGAAATTGTCAGTAGAACTCTATGGTAAGAAGATAATCTGAAAAACCTATTTTCTGTATCTGTCTGTGTCTCTTGTTTTCTTTGAATAAATGTCAATATAAGCCTTGTAAGATAAATCAGTTCGTTTTTAGATCAAGGTATCCTTAAAGACGTTTCTAGTTAGACGAATGATGATAAAAGATCTTTTAAAAGATATCCAAGAGCAATGATGAGTTAACATAAAAATTCTCTATTCTATATTCTATCAATTTCATCAAGTGTAACTAAGAACTTCTCTACGTGACACGATATGCCAGCTTATTCTTTACCGACTAAAGCGCCTGAAAATGACTCCGGCTGGGCTGGACGATTATTCAGCCAATCAGTATCTCTAACCAATGGTGTTTGCTGCAAACACCACAGTAAGTATTGTTGTTCATTCTTCTAAAATTGACGAATGACTTTTCTAAATCCAGTACGCATCATTCATCTAACCAGAAAAAATGTAAAGCATACTTTGATCAAGAAACGAACTGCTTTACTTTACAATAAGAGTTGATGTTTATTCATATGGAACAAAAGACATAGAGAGATACATAAAATCAATTTTCCGGATCGATTTCTTACCCCACCGTTCTGCTGACTATTTCTCACTGTTCGCTGTGACGATGGATCTGATTGTGCTCGAAGATCACGTTCGTAATCGACAATGCGGATTAACGGTGTTTTGTGTAGCTGTGAATTTTCTTGTTCGTCGTTCTAAAATCAAAAGATTTTGCAATTGACGCGATGTATGCATTATTCTTTTAATGAGCATACGCATCATTCATCTAACTAGAAACGCCTTTAAGGATACCATGATTTAGATACAAACTGCTTTATCTTACAAGGCTTATATCGACATTTATTCAAAGAGAACAAGAGACACAGACAGATACAGAAAATAGCCCTAGTGAAGCTTTTTTTCTCAAGCACATGACTTTCTTGAGTAAGAATGTCATGGCGTGGAGACATTTCTTACTCATGCAAAATGCATTTTTTCCGATGTCATGCGCCTGACTTTCTTGACTCATGTGCTTGAGTTTCATATCTCAAGAAACTCATCCGCATGAGATTCTTATCTCAAGCGCTTGAATATCTCATGCGCTTGACTTTCTTGAGCCATACTTTTCTCTGTCTTATCTTTTCGATCGGCTTTGACCAATGAAATTCGAAATTTTGATTTCGTTCTTTCGATAGAGTTTTCTGTTTTAGCGTATTTTGATCTTTTGTTGATGTCTCCCATACGTCAGACATATATGTCTGACGTATGCGAGACATCAAGAAAAGATCAAAATACGCTAAAAGAGAAAACTCTATTACTTATTTGCTATGGCTCTATTTTCATTTCGTTCTCTCTTAGCTTCGAACAACCGCACTGCCGACGGATAAACCCACTGACATTTTGGGGCAATAAGGCTCTCACTTACAGTCAAGGGAACAGTGACAAGCATTTGCCTTTTTCTCGTTTAGTCTAACTGTATATTATATAATCGTTTAAAACGATTTGATCTGTCTGTTTGTGTTTCTCTTTTGAATAACACGCCTAGAATCCATAGTCCATCTCTGAGTAACAAAAAATAGTTTCTGTCTCTCTCTGGTTTCATCAGAAGATAGATATATAAGTAGGGTTAAAAAAACACACTCTTATACATTCCTTTTTCTATTTTCAATTCGACTTTGTGTTCTTCACTTTCTATAACAAACAATAATCAACAATGTTGAAACTAATTCGTAGTCTTATTGTATTAATTTGTATTTCATGTGTATCCAGCAGAAAAAGAAGTCTTCGTAAGTGAATTTATCTGTTTTCGTGAGAGGGCTGAGTTGTGAAGAATTTTGCTTTAGAAATATGAAGAAGATGAGTTCTAATCGACTAAAGCTCTCCACCGTCAGCTGTTCGTATGTTTTAGTCTCTTATATGAAACTTCTAAAGAAGATGAAGAGTATTTCTAATCACTGGACTTTTGTGTGGATGCTGATAAGCAAAACCGTCTGAACTATGCTCTTATTCTTACAAGTCCTCCGGGCCTAGATTACGACCTTACCAAAAATTACATGTAATCGACCTGAAATGTTTACCCTAAAAACTAAATATTTCTCAGATTTTTTTTCGTTCTTGAAAAGTGTTGCTTGGCCTAAAAGTTACAGCAAAAACAAAATTTCTACTGACGAGGAAACCACTCCGACTGTCCGATCGCTTTTTTCACGAAACCTAGTGGACAATAGGTAATCGAGTGTCCTAAATCCGAATATCATAGTGGTTCGGGTGTCTAGACCTCCAGAGACTGGTTGTCTGGGAAACCAGTTTTTCAGAAACTCTAAAATATAACCAGAACCTTTCTTAATAAGGCATGATTGTAGCCCGCAAGTTTCTGATTAAATTGAGACATCTCCCAGCTCTACATGATACTAGGATTCAGCACACTCGATCACCTATTGTAAACTAGATTTCGTGAAAAAAGCGATCGGACAGTTCGAGTGGTTTTCTCGTGAGAGGAAAAGCGGATTAAAAAGTTGAAATAAAAAGTTCTATAGTTTGAGAAGAAGGAAATCCCTTCCTTTCAGAACCAGACAAATCTTGAGAAACTTATTTTGTTTCTATAATTTAAAAATCAGTTGTTACTTTTAAAAGACGCACAATCCGGTGAGTAAAGGTAACGGAAACTTGCCAGTCTCATTTTGAGAGCGGCAATTTTCTCCTCAACAAAGTCAGTGTCTCGCTTCCAAATCGCACATTTTGATGATAAAAGAAGAGAGGCGCCATAATTTAATATAGTTTCACTTAGAGATATAATCTGCTCGTACGTCCACACCATTTTGAGAAATTTCAAATAAACTTACATGCAAAAGTACTAGAATTAAATTTGCATTCGTTTTTTTATTTATGTGTTTATTCACTACTACGCAAACACTAAGAGTGTATTGTGTGTTTTCCTTTTTCTGTTTTTTCTACCAAGATTCGATCGAGAAAAACGGAATACATGCACGTTTTTGTGTGTGCTTGTGTTATGTTGAACCAAGGGTTACAACATTTGGCGACATTCATTTCTAACAAACTGAAGTCGTATGTTCTCTTTTTAATTTAGATTTTCGTTCGATGCAGACAACTTACAGTCGTGACAGACGTTTCTCTTACACACTCTATATTCCACCTGCCGTTTCCGTCAAACACCAACTTCAACTCGTGGTTCTCATACACGGTCTCAACCGGAAGGTTGAGGAAATGTTCGATTCCTACAAAGAATTTGCTGACCGCAAGTACTGTGCACTCTTCATTCCATTATTTCCCGAAGGTTACAGTTATCAGAAACTGATTGATTCATCGACGAATCTCCGGTACGATCGCCTGCTACTCGATATGATGTATGAAATTACTATTAAAAATACGAATATCGATGCCCGAAAATTTCTTCTCCATGGTTATAGTGCTGGTGGCCAGTTCGTACATCGTTTTGCCTATTTACATTCAAATCGATTGCTGGCTCTCTCAATTGGTGCACCAGGTTCAATTACACTGATCGACGATAGCCGGGAATGGCCAGAGGGAACGAAAGATCTAAGAACGATTTTCCATTGCGGCTAAGTGCAGACACTCAAAACTCTACCGATTCAAATCTGTGTGGGAGATAGAGATCACCGACTGAAGACGGCAGAGAGATTGAAAAGGAATTTTATGCAAGAAATTCCTTTGGAAAAAGTGGAATTTGATATTGTACCAGGTGCAGGACACGACAGTTCAAAGATGAAATACGTTGTTAGTGAATTTTTTCAACAAGTTTTGAACAATAACACAAATAGTTTAGAGCTAGATACAAACTAGATCCATGTCCACTTTGAAAAAAGCTGACTGAATTTGAAACATGTTTGTTCCCTCTGTTCTTTTATGAGATCTCTATTAATAAATTTAGTTTGCAAATCCCTATTTGATTATAAGATGGCACAGCTTTAATAAAAAGCGTTAGGCGAAAATATAGAAATCTGCTGCTAACTTTCCTTACGTACAATCTCGTATAGTTGTACTCGAGTGGATTGTACACGATTTATACTCGGACAATCTTACACATATAAATCCTGATACACCTATTTACGATGGTAATAGAAAGTACATATTTTCCTTATGCTTAGCTGTGATATTGACAGCCCTTTATATCAGAAAGTAGAAATGTATCTTTTTCTAGAATATAGCTCGACACAGAGTACAACTTGGGTACTTCAAACTGGCATAAAAATCAGAGAAAAGAACATTCTAGTTAATTTTATTTAGCCTTTAAAGTTGACAGAACCTAGAGTAATTTCGTAGTAAGTACAGCGAATATCTTCTGAAAACATAAAATTTCTTCTCCTGCCACTTTCTTGCTTGATGTCGTTTTTCTGCTTTTTTGATCTTTTTTCTTCCGTACGGGTATGTATAGACAGATATAAAAGACAAGAAAGTAAGAAAAGAATGTATTTTATATTCTCACAGAATTATTCATATAACAGGATAGCACTCACCATGAAATTTCCTGTAATTACATCAACTTTACAACTTAAAGTACAACTGACTAGAATATACTTAACTGTGATTTTTACGTCCATCTGAAGTACACAAGTTAAACTCCGCGCATCGATAAGCTTTAGCGAATTAAGTTGTTCTTTGCTGATATTAAAGTATTTTCTTCACACCTAGCAGTTAAAACACTTAGATCATCCGGGCAAGGAACTGGAAATCTAATTCAAGTTAATATTCGGACTGTGTATAACACAGCCAAATTATAAAAATAATTTTTGTTTCGTGTTTTTTCACTCTCTCTCTGTTTATTTGGCTTTTAACTTTCGCATATTAAATTTACCTGAAAACTACTGATTAGTGTTATACAAAGAGAACAAGGCAAGTATGGCCAGTAAATCGCTAACACTTAATCTAACTATCACGACCCAAAGAGAAAGCCGGAAAGTTATGATGGTCAAAAAGAGTTTATCTAACTTCCGAGTGTAAAAGAAGAGTATGAGTTTTTAAACGTCAATCGCCAATATTGAGGGCCACATATCTTAAAAACTAAAACGGATCTTTTTCTGGAAAATACATCAATACATAGTACAACTTGTGTACTTCAAACTAGTATAAAACATGGAAATGGGTCCTCTCTAGTTAATTTAGTTTTAATTCGAGAAGTTGACAGAATATAGAATAAATTCACCAAACATTTGGTGCATTTCTCACTTTAGTGCATTTATTTTGAGATCCCAAAAGAGAACGATTCTTTATTTTGGGTATAACTTTTAAAGACAAATCCCATCCTTTCAGGTTTTCTTATTAATAATATGCCTAACAAAAAGCCCTATTCAAAAATTAAATCTCAGAAAGTTACGGGCTAACCTGCCCGAAACCACCAGAAATTGACTCTTAAGGTAGCTGGGTACAATGTTTTGCGATTTGCCTCTGCTGTTTAGTCACGTTGTTTATAAACCGATTAAACTTAATATTACTCTATAAATCCAACTGTTTACTTTCAGAGAAATAAAATTAATCTATGAGGGTTACCTTTAAAATACTTTGCATTACTGCAGGCAATACGAATACCGTTGGTATAAGATAAAGTTCACATTCAAAGAACTAAATATGAACGTACAGACTTAAAAACGTAATTTTTTTAGTTAAACAAAATCTTATTTTTTTATCAATCATTTATTTTGTTACTCAGGGATTTTTAAAACATATGCATTATCATAATTTTATGGCAATATTAACGAGACTGAAATTTATCCTGCTTTTAAATAATGGGACTTAAACATTATACTTTTGTAAGATCTTAATATAGTTAAAAGATATAAATATCCAAGGATATATCATAAAAAGTTTGCAGAATAATTTCTATCTAATTAACCGTTATTAACTTTTTTAGGCTCAGATCCCACACGAGGGATTCGAACGTGGATTCAAAATACAATGGGTAATCGCAACGATGATGCCGGCTATGCTGTTGTTAATAGATAAGAAGGATCGGGAAATCATAAATACAATTAATATGAACAGAGGAACATAGAGACTGTAAAACATGGATTTTCGATAATTCAGCTTACATAATGAAAATTCGAACTTATCAATCCTCCAGAAAGCTTCACAACAGCTACTGGATGTAGCTGAAAATCCATATTTTACCCCATGTGCAGACATTTCGATTTCAGTTTCTACTAGAGCAGATTAAAATTTTCAATTGCCACTATAACATATAAAGTCTTGCTAGTGTATTTTGATCGTATTCAAAAGTATTATCATCAAGCATTGATTTATAATACGGAATGGCAATTGCCACTTACAGAAGTGTCAACAAGATGCTATTGCCACGTCCGGAAGTGTCATTAAGGAGCTACTGCCACTTTCTGAAAGTGTCAACGAGAAGCTATTGCCACTTCCGGACGTGGCAGCAAGCAGCTATTGCCACTTCCGGACGTGGCAGCAAGCAGCTAT